ACATGGATTGGAAGAATAAACATAGTTAAAATGTCCATACGTACGCAATCTACAGATTCAATGCAATCCCAATGAGATTCTTCATGGAAATAGAACAAAGAATCCTAAAACTCACATGGGGCAAGCAAAGACTCCAAACTGCTAAGGCAATCCTAAGGAAAAAGAACAAAGCTGGAGGCATCAGAATCCCTGACTTCAAAATGTACTACAAAGCCATAGTGATCAAATTGGCATGGTACTGGTACAAAAACAGACACACAGATCAATGGAACAGAACTGAACGCCCAGAAATAAAACCGCACATCTATGGACAGCTAATCTTCGACAAAGGTGCCGAGAACATACAATGGAGAAAAGATACTCTCTTCAATAAATGGTGTTGGAAGAACTAGACAGCCACATGCCAAAGAATGAACGTAGACCATTATCTCAGGCCATACACAAAAAAACTCAAAATGGATCAAAGACTTGAAAATAAATCCTGAAATCATAAAACTCCTGGGAGATAATATAGGTAGTACAATCTTTGATATGGAACTAAAAAGGATCCTTTCGGATACGATGTCTTCTCAGACAAGGGAAACAAAAGAAAAAATAAGCAAGTGGGAGTTCATCAGACTAAACAGCTTCTGCAAGGCAAAAGAAACTAGAATCAATACAAAGAGACAACCCACCGAATTGGGAAAAATATTTGCAACTCACATATCTGACAAGGGGTTAATCTCCACATAATATATAAGGAACTCACAAAACTGAACAATAAAAAACAAACAACCTGATCAAAAAATGGGCAGAGGGGGCTGGCCCCGTGACCGAGTGGTTAAGTTCGCGTGCTCCGCTGCAGGCGGCCCAGTGTTTCGTTAGTTTGAATCCTGGGCGCGGACATGGCACTGCTCATCTAAGCCACACTGAGGCAGCATCCCACATGCCACAACTAGAAGGACCCACAACGAAGAATATACAACTATGTACCGGGGGGCTTTGGGGAAAAAAGGAAAAAAATAAAATCTTTAAAAAAAAAAAAATGGGCAGAGGATATGAACAGACTTTTTCCAAAGAAGATATACAGATGGCCAATAAACACAGGAAAAGATGTTCAACATCACTAATCATCAGAGAAATGCAAATCAAAACTACAGTAAGATACTACCTTACGCCTGTTAAAATGGCTATAATCACTAACACTAAAAATAACAAATTTTAGAGAGGATATGGAGAGAAGGGAACCCTCATACACTGCTGGTAGGAATGCAAACTGGTGCAGCCACTATGGAAAATAGTATGGAGATTCCTCAAAAAACTAAAAATAGAACTACCACATGACCCAGCTATCCCACGATTGGGTATCTACCCAAACAACTTGAAATCAACAATCCAAAGTAACATATGCACCCCTATGTACATTGCAGCACTATTCACAACAGCCAAGACATGGAAACAATCCAAGAGCCCACTGACTGATGATTGGATAAAGAAGATGTGGTATATATATACAATAGAACACTACTCAGCCATAAAAAAAGGCAAATTCATCACATTTGCAACAGCATGGAAGGACCTGGAGGGAATTATGCTAAATGAAATAAGCCAGACTGAGAAAGACAAACACCACGTGATTTCACAAATATGTGGAATATGAACAAACACATGGACAACGAAAACAGTTCAGCGGTTACCAGGGGAAGGGGGTTGGGGGGCGGGCACAGGGGGTGAAGGGAAGCACTTGTGTGGTGACAGTCAAGAAATAATGTACAAGGGCTGGCCCTGTGGCCGAGTGGTTAAGTTCGTGTGCTCCGCTGTAGGCGGCCCAGTGTTTCGTTGGTTCGAATCCTGGGCGCAGACATGGCACTGCTCATCAAACCATGCTAAGGCAGCATCCCACATGCCACAACTAGAAGGACCCACAAGGAAGAATATACAACTATGTACCCGGGGGGCTTTGGGGAGAAAAAGGAAAAAAATAAAATCCTTAAAAAAAAAAAAACAAGAAATAATGTACAACTGAAATCTTCCATTGATGTAAACTATTATGAACTCAATAAAATAATTAAAAAACAAACAAACAAAAAAAACATCAAGCGCTCCGACCAGAGCCCAGGATTTAACATAGCAGTTGACAAGTATTAGCTGCTATTATCAACATCATCATCATATTCAGTCTTTATTTGCCCCGTCCTCATCTCTACAATCAAACCAGATAAAAGGGGAAATAAAAGATATTTCTAACATCTGATTTTGAAGAGTATACAATTTATTTAAAATATTTAAATAAACTGATCCACATCTTAAACATATTGGTTACCCAAAATTTCAGTTTGCATTGAATTCATTCTATGTCCCAGTTATGGGCTGAATTCTGTCCTCTCAAAATTCATATGTTGAAGTCCTAACTCCCAGTACCTCAGAATGTGACTGTATTGGAGATAGGGCCTTCCAAGAGGTAACTACCAAAAAAATGAGGTCATGAGGGTGGGCTCTAATCCAATGTGTGTCCTTATAAGAAGAGGCAATTAGGGCACAGGCACACACAGAGGGAAGACCACATGAAGACACTCGGAGAAGATGGCCATCAACAAGCCAAGAGGCCTTCAGAGGAAACCAACCGTGCTGACATCTTCTTTTTTTAAAGATTGGTACCTGAGCTAATAACTGCTGCCCATCTTTTTTTTTTTTCCTTTTCTGCATTTTCTCCCCAAATCCCCCTAGTACACAGTCGTATATTTTTGTTGTAGCATGTGGGACACGGCCTCAGCGTGGTCTGATGAGTGGTGCCATGTCCGCGCCCAGGATCCAAACCAGCGAAACCCTGGGCCGCCGAAGTAGAGCGCGTGAACTTAACCACTCGGCCACAGGGCTGGCCCCGCTGCTGACATCTTGATTTCAGATTACTAGCCTCCAGAATTGGGAGGAAATAAATTTTTGTTGTTTAAGCTATCTAGTCTGTGGTACTTTGTTATGGCAGCCCTAGCAAAAGTTAGTCTTATTACCATTCAAAAAGTAAAGATTGTACTATGGGGAGAATTTATTTTACCAAGTAGCATCATAATATTTAATTTAATATACATCTACCTCCATATTGCAAGATTGAGCTGAAATCAAATATGTAAGTAACATTTATTTCTGTACCATGCTATTATTACATATGTGCCATAAGGATAATGTAAATTATTTAAACGGCTCCGTCAGAATTATTGTCTTTAAGACATCACATATACCTTTTACCTAAATTTTAACAAAGGTCAAAATGAATCTAATTATTTGGCTATTAACTCAATTAAAGAAAAGAACTATGATCAGTGGAATGTCTCCAAAATTAATTTATTATTAAAACTCTAGTAATCTAGCATAAAAAGCAAATTTAGAAGAAACAGTCTTTATGAAGATTAATTAGTAAAAGGTTTTCTTCAAGTACAATTGCTTTTTTCATCAATTATACTTTGTTATGAACTAAGACCACTTCAAAGAATAGTTTATCACAGGAGTTTTCATAGAGGAATCACAGTGATGGATTAATCCACTTTGCCTTCAACACTACATTCGCCCTTCAACAATCATGCAGAAAATATGTCAAAGATATTTACATGAGCCAAAATACAAGCTCAGAGATGTCAACTTAAAAGCCTTCCATAAAACTCATCTATAATAGGTACTCATATCACCGCAATATAGCACAATTAATGAAGAATGAACTGAAAGATAGCCTCTTTCAGCTTTCAACATTGAGTAATATAACAGCAAATTAGCTTTTATTGCTCTTATACAATAGAGTAATCAAGTATTCCCTTTACAATGAATGGGCTTTTTCTTTCTCTAAATTACTGTAAAACTACAACTGTATATTAACATGAGACCAATCGGAAAGATAGTATTTTACAAAAAGTTGTATGAGATGAATTTTTGTGACATAAAATTATATTCCTACTTCTAGATTTAATAATCTTAGGACACTGAGTTGCAAACTGATTTACTTAAGTGGTCAATTCCCAGCCTTTTTCTTTCCTTTGAATACACTTGGAAATTAACCAGGACTAGATTAGCATTAAGAATACCTTTCAATTTATTCTTTCTCTCTCTAACTCTCACCCATAAAACAGCTAACTGCTATTTTAAATAAGTGGGGAAATATTTAAAACAAAGAGTACATAAGTAGAAGTCCTATAAAGCAGGCATTATTCCAAATTTGATATCACTATTTTATCACAGAAAAAATTTTAAGTCCTAAAATATAAAACTAATAAAGTTGAAAACTCTACTGCTTATTTTTAACATGCATGAACAATTAAGCACCTAGTAACTGTTCACTGACGAAATAATTTATTTTTTTAAATTTGGACTCAATCTAGCTTTGAAGTCTAAAGACTTTGTGGAGAGCTCATCTTCCTAAGGAACACTTAGTTTTATTTGATTCAGGGGCATACACAGCACCAACTTAGACCTGGGCAATCGTCACCTACCCTGAGCTCTGGACTCTCAAGGGATCTCCCTATTCTTCCTCTGACCACATCCCTTCCACACGATAAATCCACAGGGCAAAGAACTTGCCCCCCCAGAGCCTGTCCTGCCCTGCCCTTCTGAGTTCCAGGGCCCAGAAATCTGTGTCCAAACAGCCTAGAGCCGGCTTCCAGAGCCTACCGTGCCTTCTCCAGGTCCTTCCCTGTCAGGGCAGTTGCCCTTGCAGCCCTAGCCTGAGCAGTGGCCAGGGAGCTGCAGTTTGTAGGCGTGTGGGCAGAGTGCGAAGGTGTCTGCAAGCAAGGCCCCTCCTGGTTTAGGACAGGGCCAGGTCTGGGAGAAGAGGGGACTGCACTGCCCCATAGCCTGGCTCTCCCCACATACATCACCACACTCCAGTGGGGCAATGGAGCTGGGGCAATCTAAACTCACACTTGGCCTTCCAGATCACTAAGCTATTTCTTAAGGCAGGAGGAAACGTATTACTTTGATTTGTAACTTTTAAATGTTTAGAAATAGGCTCTGAGAGCCTCCGTGTACTTTTGCCCCAGGTCCTGCAAATTTTAGAAGCCAGCCTGGATACCTACAACCGAACTTCAAATCAGTCAATTCTCATGAACCAACTCGGTATGAAACCTACAACAGCACGAGTTCACTAAGTACTCAACAGATGAATGAAACGTATGGCCAAAAGGACTGAAAAAAAGGTATGTGGAGTATAAAGGCAAATTTATTACTTCAACTAGAAATGAAACCAAACGTGAAAGTTACCACACACTATTAGCTCTAATATGTTCACTATCTGTTCTGATGCTAATCTAATAAGTTTTGACCAATATCTTTAAGTCTCTGTTTTATATTTTAAAAGGTTCTGCAAGTCCTAAGATGATTTAAAACACATCCCGAAGAAGGCATGCCCCTCAAATCATTGTTACACCATTATGGTTTAACTGGTATAATAATGATTTTTTAATGAGTACATTAATTCTACTCAAAAGTTAAATAGGTACCAACTGTTAAGAAAACATAAAAAGATTGAGTCAAAAATAATTATATCCAGATAATAAACATTTAAAAAACGCAAGCTAAGCTTCAAGTTATTTCCATGTTAACATAATATTCTCAAATTTAAAATACAAATAGGGCTCATAAAAAAAGAAAGCTTTACTTTAATAATTAAGTTGTTCTCTACCAACAAATGATCAACAGGTTTCCTCCATCACTTATCAAATCCTTCAATACCCAACAGCAACATCCAGTCTCACACTTAAGGGGTCACACACAATCTTAACTGGTATTGTCACAGCTCAAATATCCTGCTGATTAATTTTAATTCCAACATTTCCATTATAAATTAAGCTTGTTTTTCCTTCCTGATAAACTGTTAAAGAGTTTTAATTAACGTTCTGTTCTGGTTTATCCATTTAAACACAAACCAAGCATCTAATGAAAGTAAAGCAATAAAGCTAAGCTAAATGAAAATAGATTCTACAGTGAAAATATAAACAAAATGCTGTGAGAATAAAGAAAGGGTAAATTCCTACCAGAAGGACAGAAGAGAGATTCTGAGATTATTCATCATCTGCATAGAGAGAAAAGTTCCAAATAGACAGAAGAGCATATGGAAAAGACACTAAGCCATGAAGGTATGCCTCAATTTCAAGAAACAGAAGGCAGCTGGGTATGGCTGCACTGCAGCTTCCATGGTGCGAGAACGGTGAGAAATAAAAATAGAAGTGGGGATCAGATCACTGAAAAGCTTCTAAACAATCCTTGTTTCTTACTCCAAACTTCGGAGGAAGGAAGTTAAAGGTTTCTGATCTGTGCTTTCAAAAATAACTGTACTGTGAGTGTAAAGTATAGACTAACAAGCTAAAGTAGAAGAGAAACAGGAAATGAGGTTGCTGCAATAATTCTGCTAAAAAATGGTTACAGACTGCAGTGGGAACAGACAGAGGAAAGAAGAGGCCAAGGAAGCAAAATGAAGAGAACTCAGTAACTAACTAAAGTTTCCAGGACAGAGTAGAGGGAGAGTCAAAGATGAAGCCGAGGATTTCCAAAGACCTATGAGTTTTTGGAAACCTACAGACCTGCTGATTCCTCTAAATGCTTCTGAACTCAGGTTTCCAAAATAACCTGATCTTTTCTCCAGGTGCTTCAGTGTCATCTAATAGTTTTCAAAGCATATCAGCTTCACTTCCATTAAGCTGTTTGAGATATAGCACTTTTTGCACCCTTGTAAGATGCTGTCACCAGAAATTCTATCCCACACCACTAGAATCCATCTGCATTACGGTTAGGACAGTGGGGTTTTGTTCATCCTGCAGCTATTTAATGTCCAACTGTGACCCCTTACTCTACTGCTTTTCTAAGTGCCCTTTAAAAGACCTGCATACCTTGATACCTGATACCTGCAAATGTGAGATCAACCTCCAAAACAATTTCTAAATCTATCCTAGAGTTATTTCCCTCCCTAGTTAAGATTCCATCCATGAGCATCTACTCACACCAAATGAGGACACTTCAGGCCTATGAGGTCTCCCCCAAACAGAGCTTGGTTGTTTGCAATAATGAAGAGTGTCCCTACTATGAGAGACATCGTTATAAATAAAAGAAAGACCGACTTCATTTCAGGAGCTACCCTTAGGATATGTGAGAAGGCTACTTAGCTTTATGATCAGGCAAATATTGGGCAAATCATCAACGTTTCTGGAAGAAACCGTTTTAAAAGCTGGAAAATACTGCTTCTAAATCACTTTCTAATTGTAAAATATGTAGCAATGAGGAAAACCACTCACCATCTCATGTACTAATGTAGTATTTAAGAACACAGACATCCATTTCAATAAGGATAGATCAGAAGAAAAAAGGGATAGGAAACAACGCAGCAAGGTGTTTACTTTTGCAAGATCGTTAAAAAAAAATGTTTTATATGATTAATAATACTAAAGTAGACGACATTTAGCTTGAAAACACCTAAAAGACTTTCCTCCTAGATGCTCTGCCTGTGATTTCAGGAGCATTACCTGCAGGAGGGAATTAATGGTCACAAGTCCTAATTCCAGAGCCAGAGGACTTGGGTTCAAATTCAGCCCTATCATGGACACACTACTTATCCTCTCTTCTGTTTTCTCATTTGTGAAATAAGGGTAATATCAGGCCTTTGTCATAAAGTTGCCAAGAGCAGTAATGGATATTTGAGACCCATATATACTAAAAAAAATTATTCATTGTTTATCAGAAATTTCTATTTAACTGAGCAGTTTATTTTGATTTTTTTTATTCAGCTAAATGCAGCAACCCTATTAACCCAAAGCTCAGATAAATTTGTTGAATTAGCTAAAGCCCATAAAGCAAGAAAAGAAATAGAAATCTTTAGAACTAAATATAAATAAAGTATCTCAAGAGGCAATATGGTAAATGGAAAGAACATGGATCTTAGAACCAGGCAATCTGAGCTTCAATTCATCATCCTCTGCCAACTTATAACTGACTGACCTTGAACAAATTACTCTACCTCGCCTGGTAAATGGGCTTAATTTACCACTTTTCAAGGTTGGCAGAATGCATTACATGAAGTAACCCATACTTGACACTCCCCTGATGCAGGACAGGAACGAACGCCAGTTCTCTGTTCTTCCTCACACTATCAGCTTCAGAAACTCAAATTTCCCATCAGAGTAGCCAAAACAAAAGAACTCACTTTAACCCACAATAACTAAACACAACAAAGTGCTCCCCAAACTATGCCCACACACAGACCTCTCCCGCTCCTGACCATCTCATCCCACTTGGCAGGTGCCTCTGGCAGCCAGCATTCTAATTCCCCACCGCCCATCACCTGCATGGGCATTCCCCAAGTATGGCTGACCAGAGCTGTTCTCGTCTGATTGTGCTTAATAGTATTTGAACAGAAAAGTTTAAAAACAACATAACACTGTGATTTCCTCACAAGTTTTTGCTCCTTTTCACAAACGTTTTAAGAATAAGGATACATAAACTCATTTCAAATTATCATATAACATTAAATGCATAAATCTGTTCTTTTAATTTTCAAAAAAAAAAATCTTAATCACTCATTTGAGTCAATAAAAATTCTTAAAAAGAATTGCAAATACACAACAGAAAATTATTTTCCAGTGTGACTCTTGGACCTAGATCTTCCTTCTATTTTGGAGTCATACCACATGGGGATTATTTTCTAATGTTCATTTTACAAATTGCTTAACTAACACTATGCTGTCCAACTTTCCATTTAGTATACCTTATCTTCTCTGTACACACTGTGATTTCTTTGAAGGAAAATTAACTAAATATTTCAGTAGGTTAACTAGCGGGAAGCAAAGAATTAAGATTGTAGATACAAAGGTGCTGTAATTGTATTTTAATCAGCTTATTAAATACAACATGAACATGTATCAATCAACTAACATTTAATTTCATGGTCTATGATTCAAAACTTTTCAAAAGCATAACAGTACAAAATTATCAGCATTTACTTAACAATTCCTTTCCAATTTTGTTTTAACTCATGAAAACCATATAAAATATTGTATGACAATTGTTACATGTCATTAGGGACTGGAAGAAGACATAATTAGGAATTTTATTAAAATACAAACATAATTTGAAATTTATCTTTCTTATGAGATATTACCAACTTGGTCCAGAAGGAAACACAGCTCCTATACAGAAACACAGCAACATAATTCTTTAAGTTAGGGGACTTAAATACAGGAAGATGGGAATTAAGTATTTAAATACTTAAATATAGGAATCTTTTAAAAATCTATTTCAAATATCTCTGTCCCTAACAGACAAAATTCCACTGCTGAAACAAACTACTGAGCTAAAGCTTAAGTTGGTGCTGCAGAAAATGCAAACAAATCTCTTATCAATCTCATTTAGAAAGTAAATTGCCTAATTGTGCATTCATTTAAGAGTCTTACACAAAGACTTCCCATTACAGAGTCAGATTTTGACTTGCAATGTATGTGCACATACGTATCTCTTTTCCTCCTTTGAAAGAGTGGTTTTTCATGATCTGAATGATTCAGTTTTTCACAGAATAATTTAGTTTATCTAAATTCTACTTTTGTTAAGCAGCAGTGAAAATTATTAAAAGTCAGCGGGTTCTTTTCTCTAGCACTTTGCTTGACAGCAAAAATCGCTTTAGTTTTAAAAAGTCTGTTTCTGACCATTATTTTTTCCTCACGTGGAGAAGGACCTGAGGGTAAGGGTCATTAACATCTTTTACTAAGACAAAACGATTCTACTGTGGTTGCTAGGATACCAACAGACAGATTCATTTATTGTGGTCTGAACAGTTATCAGGGATGTCTTCTCTCAAAACAACATACTAACCACAGCAGGAACCATAAGGCAAACAAACAAAATCTAAAAGGCAGAGGCAATTCCTGCCCTTGAAGAGCTTAATGTCTGCTATTGTTGGTATTTAAAATGATAAAGTGCATTTCTAAATAATATATTTTTTAAAGGACTAGAAATAAGGAGACAACAGGATGGAGGAAGTGTAGGCCAAGGTCAAATATTTCATCTGAGTCTGCAGAGTTAGATTCATTCCTTCATTAACTTATTTAACTGAACCACAATGAGTCTGTACTATGTGCTGGGTACTGTTCTAGGCATTAGCAACCCGGTGGTTAATAAGACAAAGTTGAGCCTTCACTGAGCTTACATTCTAGTGAGGAGACCAAGCAAAAGTGTTGTAAATATTTACGTCTGTGCGTATGTGCAAGCATGGAGGTGTGTTTGTACTGTATGAGAAAGCTGTGGAGGGGCATGATGACAGGTCAGAGAAGGCCTTACATATATTTATCAATTACTATATGCGAAGAGTTGGGCTAGGCAATGAGGATTGAGTTTAACAGGAGAGACATGTTCTCTGCTACTCGCATTTACTCTGGTGGGAGATCCAGGTAAACTAACAGGGAAGTGATCTGGTGCCACTTACTACCTGTGTAACCTTGGCAAGTTGGTAACACCTTCATCATGAATAGTGGCACTAACCTTCAAGGGTTATTGTGAGCATTAGATGTTTATAAAACATTTGGCACACTGCCTGGTAAACCACAAATGTTATTATTACAGTTAAGTGCCTGTGTTACAGAATAACAAGAAACAAGACTAGTAGAAATTGAGGATGGCAGAAAAGGGGAAAGGATAATAAAGGTCTTCAAAAAATCAAAAAGGGAGGAGAGAAGGGTTCACATGAGGAAGACTTGTAAAATACACTGCAAAGTGTATTTATAAACCTACAAGGAATAGTATAAAATGGAACGACATCACACACCCAATTAAGTGACCAGAATTAAACTACACATGATTGGCACAGAAAAGAGAAGGAGAGAACAGTTTAAATACTGCAAGTGGCCCTGCCACTATTTCACTCAGTGAGGGAATATTTCAGAATGAATGAGATTTGTAGAAAAAGATAGCTGCGGTCCTACAGGCAGACTCAGATCCCACCTGTGAAGTGTGAGCACCTCACCTCACTGAGTGTGAGTCAACACATAAACAAGATATGTGTTTTTCATATGAATTCCCCAAAATGCAAATGTACTATTTAATCTGGTGCTCAAGTGAATAAACAGCAAAAGCAATTTTGATTAGATGTGATTTTCATCACCTTTTGTACTTATTTTATAACTAACTCCTGCTTAAGATGCTACTCCACCTCTATGATCTCCCTTTTACAGATACACAAATAAGCATGCCCAAGGACCCCTGGGCAGCACACAGCAGAGCCAGGATACCTGCCTCATTCAGCCTGGCTCCCAATCACTGCAGTCTTTCCACAATGCCCAGCCATCCTCGAGTCTGGGTTTGAAGGGACAGGCTAAGATTAAGAAGGAAGATGATGCAAAATATCTAAGAGGAAAAGTTAATAAGACAAATAAGTACTTGCAGGAAAAGATAAACACATTAAGACTAAAGAGAGAGAAACCAAGTCAGAAGCTGATGTGTGGAAACTGTTCACCAATTTCCAGAGCAATATTGATTTCATATATTTTATACCTCTGTGCATTCTAAATATTTAAGTATTTTGGAAATTCAAACATTTCAACATGCAGGCTATCTCCCCAAATACCTCTCACACCCAAAAGCAGCACATATACACACAACTTCACCAAATCAGGTGTCCAGACAAAGTAACAAGTTCTGCTGCTTTAGAAACAGAAAGAAAGGAATACATGCCAATAAACTAGTGGGAAAGAATATAAGTAGGAGATAGCAATGTAGGGACTAAAGAAAAAGCCTTCAAAGCACTAGGTGAGTAGTGGTGCCTCTGACAGAAATGATGAAATTGAGAATCTGAGAAAACAAATAGAAGGGTAAGTAAGTGCTTCAAAAGAAGTCTTTGGAAGAACATTCCAAAAAACATCCTGCAATCAAATTCATTGGGCATTTACTCTGTGCCCAATATACTAACAAGTATACACATTGAAATCATATTTCCCATTATAATTTTAGCAATTTCCCCTTACCTTGGGGGAAAGATCTCTGGCCCCAATAAATAACAGAAGTCATAATATGAAATAACAACAACAATAACGATAGCAGTTACTGTCGGGCCATGCACCATGCCTTTCCATTTCACCCTATGAAGTGGATACATTATTCTGATGCCACCAGGCAAAAGCCTTAGTCTTGGATCAAGTAACTTGCCTAAAGTTGTCTAACACTGCTGGGGTTGGGACTCACACCCCTGTCTGCCGGACACCACGGCTCTTAACCACTTTACACTGCTTCTCCATTTTAAAGATTCAAACTTTCCCATGAGCACTCTGCCTTTTTAAATGTAGAGTTTACGGACACAGAATAATTCTTCCATACAATATTTTACAAGAAGCAATTAAAATGCAGTCAGTACCTTAAATGCAGACAACTTTTTGTCCCCGAAAGCTAAGACCTTCTCGTGTCTATTACTCTTTCATACTGCACAAGTACTATTCTTGAATGGCACATAAATTGATAAAATGAGAACTCAAAATATAATGACATATAAAAGGAATATGTTACTGTTAAAAGTCAGAGAATAATGTCTCAAAAATTTGAGAAGTGGGCTCTACCACATTCTCATGAAAATACTCTGTGCATACAGGGGCTTAGTAACGTCTAGTTTTTTTGAAATGCAAACTTTACCTGGGTCATTATGGGAATGAGGCACCACAAAGACCTGAAGAGGCTTGGTATCCCATTCATTATTTTGATAGGTAATGTCAAATCCTTGCTTCCAAACTCCACCATCTGGATTGTCAAAAGGTATTAGACTGTAAACATCCAACATCTAAAAATATAAAAGAAAAAAAAAAGAGTAAGTTTAACTATGTATAACCATTATTAATTTAAACTTATGTTTGAAAATATTTGCTCAAAACTACTCATTGCTGTACTCTGCATATATATTTCACAAGATAAAATTATTTTTGTAGGCATTAACTGAAGAGTTTAAAGCAGAAATCATTTAATCACCATCCAAAGGCTTAAAATGCTACTTGTGTTATATAACTATACTGATAATCCCCTCCCCAATCTGCTTCTCATAAAAAACAATCTCATTCAATTCCTTCTTCCCCTGCTTTACTTCCAATACAATGTAATAGAAATTGGTAGGAACTGTACAGCAAACAAAAAACTTTCTGATAGAATTTGATTATGACCAAATATTTCAGTATTTTCAAACACAGTACTGTAAATTATTTTTTACTTTATCTGAGATGCCTTTATTTTATAATCAATCTCATACATTTTAAAATCTGTATCTGAATGGAAATGCACCTATAGCTATTCTTTCATTCAGCATATGCTACGTTTATCTTTTTTATTTTAAGAATAACACTACACTAGGGTCAACTAGGCGTAATCAATGAAAAACGGAAGAATTTTGTTTAAATTGAGATTTAGCTTTTAAGTGTTCAAATGTTTTCTAAGTTTCCATTGGAGTACTCCTTCTAGATAATAATTTACTTGGACACAAAGGAAAAAATATTGCCAAAAAAAGAACAATTTTATTCCTCTTACTCTTTATAATACTAAATATAAAAAAGAACACAACTGCCCTTCAGTAAAATTTAAATTATGTAAAAATCACATCCTAATGTATACATGGGTTATAACAAATTTTTTAAAGATATCAAGCAAATTATATACAAGTGAATCCAAAGAACTTTATGTATCTCTCACTCAGGAATTTATGACTTTAAACATAAAATAAAATACTGAGTCAACAAATCCTTGGGAACCAGCTGGACAGAAGGATGTGTTCGCAGTTTCTGCTATTCCTTCCAATTCTTTCTTTGGCCCTGCAGCTCTCCCAGCGCCCTGCTGCCTCACTCTACCTGCCCTCCATGGCTGCTGGGCAGCTTCTCTCTATCCAGCCCAGATTTAGACAAAAAAAAAAAATTCTGTTGTTCCCCTTTAAAAGATACCTAATTAAAACCTAAACATAGCCAAGCCTCACAGAAACAGCTATCCCTTCAAAGCCCAGGATTCTGATCCTATGTGAACCTGGCCACACACTAGCTGATGAGGTCACAGGCACAAGGCCAGACCAGCCCCACTGTCCCCAGCTTCCGACTTGGCCTGTGAGGCGTGCTTCAAGATCATATCATGTTCTCTGTCCCTAGGAGTCAGTGAAAACTTCTACTCTGAAGCAAAGCCAGAGCCAACTCATTTTACTCTACTTTAAAATATTCACCCATTGGGGTTCTCTCACCAAGTTCCAGTTTCTCGTCTCAAGTACAAGGTTAAACACAGCTCTCTGCTAATTTGCAGAACAGAGCAAATATGAGTGACACACCCCAAGTTTAAGAAACACAGAAGTCCTTTCTGCCCTAGTTTTCAACTCCATAACCCCCTAAGATAGTGCTATCAGAGAGAAACATAATGCAAGCCAAATACACAATCTTAAATTTTCTAGTAAAATAAAATAGGTGAAATTAATTTTAATGACATATTTTGTTTAACCCAATATATTCAAAATATTACCATCTCAAGATGTAATCAATATAAAAATGAATATTTCGCACTGTTTTTTGATACTAAGTTTTCAACACTCTGTGTGTATATTATACTTAGAGCACATCTCAATTCAAACCAGCCACATTTCAAGTGCTTAGGAGCGACATGTGGACAGTGGCTTCCATAATGGACAGCAAAGCTCTAGAATATTTCCCCTCCCTCTCACAAAGAGATATTCAGCAAAAAAGAATAAAACTCTGCATTGTGTGAAACCTATAATTTTTACAAATATACAATAAGAGTAGGGCTTTTCTTGTAATCTCCAAAGAAAGGTAAGAAAATCTCTTTGGCCAAATTTAAAGCTGGAAAGGTCTTCACCTACTATAGAAAATAAGACCTAAGAAGCATACAAAAAAGGCCATATTCATAAAGTATGAAATAACAAGAAAAATGGGAGAAACACAGAATTGTGGAATTTTATCACTGAAAAGAACATTAATGATCAAGTGACTAATGAAATCACTTTACAAAACAGAAACTAGGATCCAGAGAGTTTAAGTGATTTACTAAGAACAGATACCAGATCAAAAACAACAAAGCCCAGTAATTATTAACGAATGTATACATTACCTGCACATCTGATTTCTGACTTCCACTTTGTGAAGCAAACAGACAATCTTCAGGGTTGACTTCAAGTGACAGTTTTGACGGCAGAAGAGGTGAGCCAGCACCTTGGCCGAAACCACCTCGTGAACTTTTCGGACCATCCTCCACAGACTCACTCAAATTGATAACCGAGTCTCTAATATTTGAGATGATCTCATTATTCTCAGCTAGCAAACGCTCCAAATGGTCTATTTTTTCTTGCAACATTGAGAGTTGGCCCTACAATAAAAAAGAAAAAGGCAGCCATATGAAACTCTAATATAGCTCTGCTGAGGCACACACATTTTTTTTTTAAATTATGTGCCTGCCCAAGAGGGCAGCCACTCACCCTTCACTTTCCACTTTTATAAGTGGGATCACAGAAAGCATGAATAGCTGGCAGGGTTGAAACACCAATTTACAGCAGAAAATCTTCTCCATGGCTGAAATCTTTGTTTAATCATATTTTAGAATGCGCCACAAAAAGACCAAAAATATTTGTATTTTGGGATATATTTCCTATTACACTAAACCCAGCCCTAAAAGTCCTTTGAGTCTCCAAAATCACTAAATACACAGCATATTATATCCAGGTTTGAAATTTGAATTTAAGTATAATTGATTCTAGTTACTCATAAGGGTCAAAAGGTATGAACCTGGGAGCTGACCCATGGCGCAGCAGTTAAGTTCGCATGTTCCGCTTTGGCAGCCCAGGGTTCACTGGTTCGGATCCCGGTTGTGGACATGGCACCGCTTGGCAAGCCATGATGTGGCAGGCGTCCCACATACAAAGTAGAGAAAGATGGGTACAGATGTTAGCTCAGGACCAGTCTTCCTCAGCAAAAAGAGGAGGATTGGCAGCAGATGTTAGCTCAGGGCTAATCTTCCTCAAAAAAATAATAAAATTAAAAATTAAAAAATTAAAAAAAGGTATGAACCTTAAAAAGATCATTCCATCTTAACTGGTAGTACTAGTGGACAATCGTAAATAAGAACTCTCATCTATAGAAAAATCAATTAATCAACTCTTAATTAGCCATATGCATGAAAAAGACTGGTGGAACATCTCCTAAGTAACCACACTGTTAAGTCACTTAGACTGCTTCTACTATACTGTGTGACTTAGGTTTCTGAATTGACCCTCACATTAAGAGGCCTGCCGTCTCTCTAAAATAAACCTTGTTTTACAGAATAATACCTCAGCTTATGAAAGCAAGAACAATCTTTGTCTTGTTCACTCCTATACCCCGCGTTCCAAATACACAGTAAATACTTATATATTTGTCAAATGGTCCTCTTATTTCTGGAACTCAACAATAATTCTCTAGTCAACACCCACTGTGCTAGGTATAATGCTACATGCTGGGAAGGCAGATACGCATAAGATATAAGTTTCTGTCTGAACACACAAGGTGACATTGTAACTAGCAATAGCCTACCCCCGTGCCCCAAAAAGTCCACATTAAGGTTTAATAATTAAACCTTAAAATATAAAATATATAAAATAATTATATGCATAGTGAACAAATAAACTCTGAACGACCAGAAACAAAAATTCTATCACCAGTAAATAATAGGAACACAAAAGGGAAAAGAGAAAACACCTAAATGTCCAAAAGTAAAGGACTGGTCCTATGGTATATCTAATACCATGGAATTGTTTTCAGTCAGTGAAATTTTAGAATTATAAATTTTTAAAAAATAGAGATATATGGGGGCCGGCCCAGCAGTGTAGTGGTTAAGTTCCCAGGCTCCACTTTGGTGGCCTGGGGTTCATGGGTTCAGATACCAGGTACAGACCTGCACATCACTCATCAAGTCATGCTGTGGCAGCATCCCACATACAAAATAGAGGAAGACTGGCACAGATGTTAGCTCAAGGCCAATCTTCCTCAAGCAAAAAGAGGAAGACTGACAACAGATGTTAGCTCAGGGCCAATCTTCCTCACCAAAAAAAAAGAAGAAAAGAAAAGAAAAATATATGAGAAAGTACTTTCAGGAGATACAGTGGAGAAAAAGCAGTACAAAAATAGTATGTATGAGAAAAAATAGTATGTTTGACATGATCTCCTTTTGAAAAAATACATATGGAAAGCCATAATTGAGATGGTAAAGACCAATTATGGGTATTTATATTCCTCTTTAGTTTGTTATGAATAGTTGTTGGTTTTGTAATGGGGAGGTCAACAGAAACAAGGAATCTACTCCTACTGGCCAGGTCAAGGGGAGAGAAGTCAACAGACTGCTATCTACCAAGAGATGGCCATTTCAACAAACTGTGTGAAAACTGACAGTAGTCTGAAGGGACTAGGGAAGATATTTTGGAATAAGAAAAAAAGTAGCCAAAATTAGAAGCAAATCAGCAGCAAATTATCTTGGGAAGTGTTGGGGAGAGACAACACTGAGGATGAATACCCAAAGCCCTGTTGGAGAGAAGAGGAGCACAAGACGGCCATGTAGCTCCTCAGACCTGAAAGATGCACTCACAGGCCTCTCTTCTTGGACACATATGACAGAAATTGCCCCCTGCATGTCAAAACTATAGTCCTTTAAGGCAACTGTCACCTCTAGAATGATGAGGTATGTTCTCCACAGGGCAGAACTCTGAAGCCTGTTTATCAATGCATACAGAAACAGGAAGTGCAAGGTTTTAGCACAGAACTTATCCTGCAAGACAAGCCCCATTTCCCCTAATGAAAAGCAAGAAAGAGAACATGGATCTGTTCACAACTAGAAATGGCAAAGCAAAGGAAACTGATGGATCAGTGCAACACTAGTTCAGGGCTCAAAGAAAAGCTAGTTGAACCATGCAGATTCCAGGTCAGCAAAGCTGTGGAGCAGGATTACACTATAAATCCTTCTTGATGAGCTCACATCGATGTTGGCTGAGTGGTTCTCAGTGGAAAGACCAAAGTGGATCCCCTGGCATAACCCAAAGTTCATACAAAGAAGCTAAAACGATTTGAGTCAGGTGCACAGCTGACTAACCTGTATTTATTTTCCTAAACAGACATGCCATCAAAGGCTGTCTGAAATAAGGGAAAAACTTTTCTTCACTCATTATCACAACACCACAGACTGCAGCTCTTTGAAATCACTTCTGATGAGTTCTGTTGAACATTTTCAATACTGAAGACACAAGTATACTTCAGAGATGCTTGCAATTTCTACTGCAGCAGGTAACAGTAAATCAAGTTCCTCGGATCTCAAGCAGAATTAGAACATGTTGACTCATCTTGCCTGTAGTAAAGCTGCACACTTCCATAAAAGAAAACCTTAGCTTAGTCTAAAATACCACCATCCTAGAGCTTTTAAAGATGCCACATGTTTTATCGGACACTTACAGTGTATAAATCAATTACACGGGCGCCTGCATTTCTCCAGATCTCTCTATACTTTCAGGAAAAGATAATTTTGAAGCCATGCACACAGCAAAGCTGCCTATAGCTCAACAAACACACAGTGAGAAAGCGGCTTCCTTATGGGAATATTCTTACTATGGCCCTGGTTCCATAACCCATGGATGAGAGTATTATTCAAAGTAAACATTACAAGAGATGGATGTTTCATAAAAAAGGATCCTGCAGGCACTAAAGTGACTTTCAATCTCATTGAAGCTTTAAAGATACAATTAATGATCAGTACCTGGAATTCTGTACTGAATTAAGTCCATGGAGAAAATTGCGGCCTAGAGATACGTCAGCATAATGGTCTAATGAAAATCATTTTTTAAACTATATTATGCAGTGGAATAAAGTCTCCCTCCAAACAGCTGAAGTTTTTGAAATACACACACCTCATAAGCAAATTCTAGACACACAACAGAGGAGAGTGGTATAACCTTAAAAGGATGTACTCGTGGTCTGCATTAAAGTAACAGAAATCATAGATAATGTTTCAATTATGCTGACAAGTCAAAGAATACTGATGGTAATATTGAAAAAGACAATTTTCTGTAGGGCAAGAAAATCACTTGTGAGAAAACCACTTTATTCTTTGATTTGCTAATCAGTGCTATAGGGAGGCCACGGTACTGCACTGCTGAATGGGGAAGGAGGTCATGATATTTGATTTACTCTGCTTTTGATGAAAGAGAAAAATTGAGCAAAAAAAATCATTGATATCAAAGACTTTTGAGAGAGAAAATTTAGAGCCTACCACAAGGCAAAATAGGATCAGTACCACTCAGCCCTATGAACAAAATCAATCAATGTACATCTACAGATAAATGTGAGAACTTACTATGTAATTATTTGCCCAGGTAAAACACTAGCCACTGGGATTGGTATCACTATGATCACTGACGCATAGCTGAAACTGCACATCTTCTTCTTCCTTCCTGTTACAATTGAAAAAACGTGTGCCTTCCCTCTCCCCACTTCAAAGGCAAACACTCTGCTGGTGAGCTCCAATCCCATTCTCTCTCAACTGCTCAAAGGCTGTACTCTTGTGGTTAAACCCTCTCAACACTGCTTCATCAAACTCTCCTAAAAGTAACTCATTCTCAATAGTATAACATACCATGTTCTATTAGGTCAAACTATACGAAACTGCCATTCTCGGAAGTCAAAAATAGTCAAATGTCACCAATTTGCTACGGTTCAACTTAACATTATATCCTATCTAAAAAAATAAATCAAATGTCAGTGCTTCCCTCAGCCCCACGTTGCCTTCCAGGGCCCCATCCCCCTCACAGACATACAGGGATTATCAACAGTCTATACTTATTATCCCCTTTCCTTACAAATTCCCCTTTGCTCCTCTGCCCAACACTGCACCAAAACTGCCCTTGGAAAGTCCCCAGAGGCTCCCATGTTGTCAAGCCCAATGGGCAAACACTACCCTCATCCTTAAATTTATCACCTCAAGGAGCATTTGGCACAGAGGACCACTCCTTCCTCCCGGAAATATTTTCTTCATTCATTCCCAGCACAATATACTCTTGGTTTTCCACCTGCCAACTATTTATCAATTTCCTTCTCTCCCCAATATCTAAATGATGGAGGGCCTCAAGGTTAGCTCCTAAGCCCTCTACCTTCTCTATACTGTCTTAAATTCTCTCATCCACTCTATGGTTTAAGTTCCATTTTTTGTACAGTTATCTCCCATATTTATATCTCCAACTGAAATCTCTTCTCTGAAAAACAGACCCATATACCCAAATGACTACCTGACTTTTCAACTTGGGTTTCAAACTTAAGTCCAAAAAACACCTTTCCAAAAAAGCCTTCTGAAGTCTT